AGAAACTTGCTGTCTCCTACATCTGCACAGGCCAGACATTATGTTGCTGGTAGATATTGAAAAGCATGAGAAAAAAGAGAAACTGAATTATCTGGTGACAGATATTTCCCCCAGACCCACCCCAAGAGCAACCACTGAAGAGGTTTTTCAGTCCAAAGTGCATCAGATGCACTAACCTGGGTTGTAACTAATCCTCCCCTCCCACATCCTCCATTCCAGGCAAAATCATCTGTGCCTGTCAACACCTCCAGGAACCGTGGTGTAAAGGGTCTGTACAATGATCCCAGTCTCATCCAGGATATAAAGCACTTGTGCTCCCCCCCTCTCCTTCTCCTCTTCCATATATTTCAGCAATGGATTTCCCAGAGCACTTCTGTCCTATTAATAAAACCTGTTGTCACCCTTGTTAGTCTGCCAGAGAAACTGGGTAACACCTGAAAATCTGAAGGGGAAGCAAACAATTATTTCTTGGTACATGGTTTTCAAACTAAGCAATTTAGAGCAAGCGAGTTAAAAGTATATATTGAGGAGGAGGAATTATGATGCTGACAGAGTAAGGCACTGGTGGTTGTGAATTTTGCCTGCTTTAAGACTTTTCAGTTGTTTGTAAGAAATGTTTTGTGAAGAAAAAAACCCACGATTATAAGAATGTCTTGGTCTTGCTGTTTCCTGGGTGTGTTGGATTGATTGTGCCTTGCTCTTGCTCAGGTCAAGTGGTGTCATTCTGATAAAGCAGAGTGGGAAATGGGGCTGCCAGGCCACTTTTTCCCTATTAGTTCTCTCATGCTCCATGTAACCAAAGCCTGAAGCATCATCCGTTGGCACAAGGTTGACTGAACTGTGGTGCACAAAGAACTTTGTCAAATAGTTGACATTTTAGTCCCAACCACGGTTTACATCTGAAGTCATTTGGTGGTTTATTTTGATTAGAATCTGCTTAGTCATTTTTGATTAGCAGACTGCATAGATCAGAAATGATTGCAAAGCTGAAGCTGTGCAGAGTGCCAAAGGTAACACAACTATCTTTGCTTACTCAGGTTTTTCAGTGCTGAACTTATTTGAAGTTGAGCTGAACTATGGAATAATTGTTTGTCTTGCAACTGTTGTCTGCTTTAGGTTTTGCTTGATTTCAAGAAGGGTTGGATTGTTTTGGCCTTTTGTTTTTCATTAAAGGCATTGGGTGCATTAATCCTCTGAAAAATCAAAAGGCCCTCAAGATTAATTACAGATATGGGTCAACTATTTGTTGTATTCTATCCATATGAAACAGGTGTTTGGGTTGGTGAGTCACCCAGAGGCAAGGGAAGGACTTGGTAGATGAGAAGATGTGATTTATTATTTTTTTTAATTATTATTGGGGTTTTTTTGCTTCTTTGAGGTGATGGTGAAACCAAACTTTACGAACTCTCCCGGAGTCAATCATGTTCTGCAAATTCTTCTCCCTGGAATGGTTTCATAGAACCATGGAACAATTGAGGTTGGAAATAAGACTTGGAGGTTATCTAGACCAATCCCTGCACAAAGCAGGACCTTCTGCCTTTGTCTTCATGGCAGCCACTCATGCAGTAGCTGAAGAAAGTAATTACTGTACCTATGCTCAGCTCTCTCTATTCCAGGCTGAACAAATGCCATTCCCAGGCTGTGCTTGTGTCCTTGTCAGCCTTGGCTACAGCTTATTCAGGTCTTCCTTGACTGCAATATTTCTGAGATAGCCTTCCTATGAGAATACAGGGTCAAGGAAGACCTGCTGGCTAAGTTGTTGAGAGTTCAGGGTGGTGGGTGGTTGACCTTTGATGTCCTGCTGGCTCACATTTAAATTCTGTCTCATCCCCACCTCGTTCTCTGCCATCTTGCTTTCTAGTTAGATCATCTGCAGCACATGTGGGGATTGTTGCTTCAGGTGCAGGAGTTTGCATTGGACTTTGTTGAATTTTGTGAGGTTTCTGTCAGTTGGCTTCACCTGCCCAGGTGTAGGTGAACAGAGCCCTGCCCTGGGGTACGTCAGCCATTACCACCAGTGTAGTACCTGATGTGGACATGCTGAAGGTGCATCCCAAACTGGTGGCTAGGTTGGTGGGGCTAAACACAGCGAGCCCCAGTGTCAGACTGTGAGAAGCTCCAGTGATAATCAGCCACCAGCCAAGCATCAAGTCACTGACCACTGCTTTCTGAGCCTGGCAGCCCATTGGTTTGCTCCTTACAGCTCCATGTGTCCCCTGACAGGTTGGCTTGGGTTACAGGACAGTGCAGGCAAGGCCTGGGGAAATAAAATGGGTAGTGAATTTACAACTAGAGGATGGGCACCATTTGCTAATGGCTTACAATGGGAGGTGGTGAGCTCTCTGTTTTCCTTTGGGGAATCTCCTCCAGTAGCATGTTTTGGTGTTCCTGAGACTTGGAACCCAGATGGTTTTTTGCCTAAGATCTATTTGGCAGATGAATAATGCTTCCAGCAGCTAATAGTGCCACAACCTTGATGCAGCAGGGAGTCCTCTCATTAGGTAGAAGGGATTGAGACTCCAGTGATTAAATCCAAGTCGTGGAGTCCCAGCCCAGCCCTGCAGAAGGTCACTCTTCAGAAGAGCTTGTTTGCCAGATGCTGACAGATGACTGTCCTTTCCTTAACAACTAAACTCTTGTTTAGCTTTATTTCAAATGTTTACTTTTCTGCTGGGGTTTCAATAAAAGACCCTTGTCTTGCAGCAGCAGCAAGTCCTCCAGCACAAGAATGGGGTCTGTAAAACTGTCTTCTTTTTGTGCTTGTAAAGCTCTTTGAGAGAGAGCACACTACCCATCCTGTGTTTTGCTTTTGGAAGGAAGTTAAACATACATTATTTAAGTTATTTGTGTTATTGTTAGATCACTGGGACAAAGGGGCTGACTGGTAGCAAGCATAAAATAGTTGAAATACATGCCCCCATTGATTCTTTGTCCAAAAAAACCAAAACAAACCTTCAGAAACAGGAAAAGAAAAAAAAAAAAAAGAAGAGTAAAGATCAGTCATTAGGGTTCGAGCTGCTTTGGTTGCTGGGTTTTCTTTTCCTGAGCTCCTATTAGCCTTTTGCATCTCGGGCTATATCTCCAGTCCTGAGAAACAGGGCCACTTACTTGGTTTCTCTAAGAGAACAGTTGCTCTTGAAAATGCAGTTCTGCAGATAGATCATTGGTGTGTTGGGTGCACTGAGGAGGAGTGCATCCAGTGCCCTCTTTCCTGGTGGCTTTTCCTTCTGCTGTTGCAGTGTTGCATCACTGAACCAATGCTACAGCAACTCAGGACAGGAGCAGAAATCTGTATTTCATTTGATTTTCCTTTATTTTTCTGCTTCAAAATGTCAATGTTGCTGAGTAGTAAAAAAACACCAAGCTTCAAGACTAGGGCAGGAGCAGGTCTGGAGCCCAGGAGCTCTGCAGATGCAGCCCCCTGTACCTGTTGGGTGCCCTCAATGTTCCTCAGCTCCCACAGCATCCATGCCATGCTGCATTCCTTCTCCTCTCCCTGACTTCTGGAGAAGGGCAGAGCTACAGCGGCAGAACCTGCAGGTCCTTCTCCCCCACTGGTGTTGACTAAATCATGTGAGAGGGATTAAGGAGCACAGCGAAGCATTTTAACCCTGCTCTCACTGTAAGAGCAGTGAGGACCTGGTGTGTTCACTTAATAACCAAGCCTGTGTAGCAGAGAGGCTGGGATATGAGAGAGGGAGTGAGGCAGAGTTTAACAAACAGCCCTTAATCCGGTTAGTTTGTGATGCTGATGAGATGGGAACAACTAGAAACAAAGGAGTTTGTGCTCCGGGACTGGAAAAGGGATGTGTTCCCTCTGGTCTGTGAGCATGAAGGATCCTTTGCTGCTTTTAGGAAGGCAGCAGAGCTGTGTGGTGTTCCCATTCCTCCCTGGAGCTTTCTGAAACTCCTCTGCCTTTTGATATTGGCCCAGCTCCCCAGTTCAGTGCCTCGTCTTTGTGCAGGCACCACAGAGTCCTTGCTGGAAGGGAGATAATACTTCCTGAAGTGCTCATTTATCCCAGCAGGAGAGGGGTGGTTAGCAGCATCCACGTGGGTTATTAGGCTGCACTGGAAAGAAAGAGCAAACTGCAGAGTTGTGTTAGTTTATGTATTATCAGCATTTGTAGGGTACCTGTTGCCTTAGTAACAGGAACAATGTACGGAGCTTTGACTGGGTAAAATCACCCTCTAGGCAGGGAAATAAAAAATTCGTGGCCTTTCCTCTGGAGCCACTCCTCCTGTGATCAGGGAGGGAGCTTAGGAGACAGAAAAAAGTGAGCTGGTTGTTATGATCATACAATCCCAGCTTCTGTTAATTCACAGCTCCTGGGAACCCTGCAGAGCTGCTAACAAGCTCTGTGTATATGGAGAGCACACAGGAGTGTGTTTGGGGGCCAGAGAGGTGTCCAAGCTCAGGTAACCTAAAGCTGTGCAGTGCCTTTCAGTGCAACAGGCCCGGGGTCATCCTAAATTGTCCTTTAGGTGTCCCTCCTGCCTGCATCTCCAACAGACCCGTGCCTGGCTGGGGAGCACCTTCGTGAGGCTTCTCTGGCCCCATCCAGCCTGAGAACTGGACTTTTTTCCACATGAAAGGAGTGACAAACCCTGCTATTTGTGTGGCAATGGCATGTGTTGCTCTGTCATTACTTACCTGGGCTTGGTGGTTTATGGTTAAATGGGAATTACAGCATTAACCTACCTGAAAAGCTACTGTAAGTCTCTTGATAGCAATTAATCTTCTAACGTGGACTGAAGGAGTGAAGGCATTAGATGCCACTAATGTTTGTGTCATGGGAAGGTTCAAGGACTATGGTGCTGGGCACTGGGAGCTCAGAGCTGGCACGGTGCTCCCACTGGGCTATAGCAGGGTTGTCCCATCTTTGAAGAAAGGACTCTGGCCAAAGTATATGGCCCTCAGGACTTTCAGATGCTTGAAACTTAGGATTTCCCTTATGAAAAAACAGTCTGCTGTGTGTCCATGGTGTAACAGGATAACCATGGCGCCCAGCATGACAACCAAGAAAAAACACTGCAAGGTCAACTTACAGGCTGAGGTGGGTTTGGAAGACAATGCTGACTTTGTGTCAAAGTCAGGGGAGACTCCTCACCCAGCTCCTGGCAGTCACAGCAAGATTAAGCAGCACTTTCTACCACACGTGGGTCAGCTAGCATGGGCTTGTGCCTCTTATTTATTCTGCATGCTGGCTAATGACAATACACTTATTGTTCTTACACCTGTTTGCAAAGGGAAATGAACTGAAGACAGAATTTTAGTGCCTCTCCATAAGGCAAATGGGTCAGGTTTCTCTTTCTTGCCATTTAGCACAGCACATCTGGGCTCACAAAGCTGAGCTGCAGCCCAATAGAGATGTATGCAACTCAGAGCCTTACTTTATCATCTTCTAAAGGATGATAAAGTAAGTCGTTAAAATCTCCACCAGAGTGAAATAAGAGGTGAGGTTCTGATGGCTGTAAACTTGGCAGCCAGCTAAGGTGAATCCAATTATTTGTGGCGTTGCAGAGGTTTGCTGCAGGAACATGTAACACACAATAGCCAGCAGCACAAAACTTACTTCACTTTGGCTCAACACTTGTTTTCACAATTACTCCACTAACAGTAAAAACACATCATTTATTACTGTCCCACCTTCCTATCACCCTCTTTTCACTGCATCAGAAGAGATTTATCTTCAACCTCTATCAGCCACCACAGTGGTTGCTGCCACTATAGGTTTAATTGCCTATAGATGCTGTACTGATTTTCTGTCTGACACCAAAAGATTTAACAGTGGAGTTAGGTTCCAGAATCAATGTTAACAAGTCTTTATTTGGGTCTATTTTATGTCAGAGACTCTCACAGCTACTGGGGGTGATTTACAAAACTGACCTTCACTCATAGTCTTGAAAACCAGATAATCAGCAAATACATTTCCTCAGCAAGGAATGGATCCTTCCTCATAGAGAATCACCCTGGCCCCTAAGTCATGGGCCAAGGCTTTACCTGCTCCAAAGCATTGCTGCTTTAGCTCTTAACCAGATGATTTATTGGCCTGTGAAGGGTAAAATAAAACCCAACTTCTTGTTCAACACACTTTAAGATGCAGCAGCAGAGATAGAAGTAGCCCATCACTTGCAGTGCAGAGCCTCTTTGCATGCCTATCTGAGCTGACAGTACAGTTCTAAATGTCTCAAGTAATAGGAGTCTGGACCAAATGCTGTAAAAGATATGGTATGGAACAGTTAGGCTTTGATGGAGACATGGCTGGCTAACCAAACAGGCATTCCTAGCCTTTAACAACCCTGCTACAGCGTGCAATGATCTGTGTGGCTTTCAGTTCAATGTGAAGATTTCTGCTTTTAAAAGTAAAGGGAAAAAACTGCATTGGCATTCTGTTCCAGCAGACAATGAGCCATGGGGACCATTCTCCACGGTGAAAATGTCACAGAGACAATTTCTCTGCTCCTACCCATCCCATTCCTTTCCCTGCCAGTGGCTGGCAGGGCACTTCCATCCCTACACAAAGACCTGTGCTGCCCACCACGGTGGTATCTGCAAAGGTGACATCACGAAGCTGCTCCAGAAGCTGGCTTGCCCCCCATGGGAAAAGCTGCTGAGCATTTCATGGATGATGTGTTTGGGCAGGTCTTCTGAAGTGACTCTGCCCTGCTTCCTCTTGCCCTCTGATTTGACTGCTGTAGATGCTGCAGGTACTTCATAGCAAATGATGTCATGAAGGGTTATGAAGTGATACAAGTGTGTTTAAGAAGTGCTATCCATAAATCAGTATAAAATATTCCAGGTTAGTATAAGACCATATTACAAGAAAATGGAAGGATTTTGCATCAGTTGAGTAACCAGTTCTGAAAGTGTCTCTTATTAGACTTTTGTATGACACGAAATGTGCAGTTGTAAATGAAGGGCAACTGGGCCATTTATTGCAAAACAAAAGGACTGATATGAGAAAAAGGGGGCTGTGCTTTGGTGTGGGCTTGTTGCCATGAGGAAAAGGAAAAGAAGTCCTAATAATGAGAGTGCCACAACATGTTTTTCCTCCAAAACTGAGCTCTGAATTTGCCCTGTTAGAAAAATCTCTTGTGGGGACTTGAGTGAAGCATTATCTAACCATCTGAGACACAGCCCTATAATTCATGGGTCAGTGACACAGTAGAGAAGATCAGTTCTGTCTATTGTAGCAGCAGAGGGACTCTTAATCCATGGATTATTAACGTGGAAAATTGAAGGGGTTGTTACAGGCTTGTGGTTTATTAGACTATTGTGGATTTAGGGAGCTTTAATTTGAAGATTATGGACACAATGGAGTGCAACAGATCCCTTGACAATGTCAGTGCAAGGCTTTTGTGCAGGAGAAAGATTCTGCCTGAATTCTGGCCTTCCCCATCCCACAGGATACTGCTTAGAGAAACACTTATGAGGCTGTAATTACCTCTGCAACTCATTTGATCAAAGTAACTCGGAAACCCACTTCTCTGAAGATAACATTCCCTGAGCTCTCCAGTCTGGAAATTGTTTTGTTCTAGGAAGGCTTTCCTTGCTGGCACTTGATTTGCACCCACGGTTGCTGGTTTGTCTTGCAAACATTTGATGCTACGTATCATTAGGTCCACGGGATGTTTTGCAGTGCCAGCAATCTGAGCATGTTACATGGTAGGGAAGGACCAAGGAGTGAAACCTTAGATTTCCACTAGCATAATATGAATAAATATGCTCCTGCCCCTGAGCACCACCTCAAAGGAACTCGAGGGGCTCATCTCAGCTTCCCATTCACCTTGAAGGGTGGGGATTGCGTGGGTATGGAGAGAGAGACAGTGAGGCTTGAACACAACCACAACTCAAAAGGCAACCAGCCTGCTCTAGAAGCCCCCAGGGAGGGTATCTGCCCTGCCCGAGCATCTCGCTGTTCCTGTGTTCTTTAATCCTCTTCTGCTCCAGAAGCAGCAATGAGGCCCAGTGTTGGTTACAGGAAACACTTCAAGAAGGGTTGGGCTGAAAGTGGGGTGGGTAGGCTCAGAGTCAGCACTGGGGTGAGCTTTGTAACTGAAGGTATTTGAGAATGGAAATGGTTTGTCTCTGGAGGGCACGAGCCTCCATCCCTGGTAGTGTCTGAGAGCAGGTAAAACATTTGCTGGGAAGGTCTCTGTGGTAACTGAGTGGTCACTTGGTTCCCAGGCCAAGAGAGGGGCAGAAAGGTAAACTGGATGCTCCTATTTCCATCCCGTTGATGCTGGGTGAGGAGTCCCAGGCAGCAGGTGATGGAATTCACAGCATCAGGACGGGCTTAAGTCAGAGAAGCTGTTTCTCAAACTTGTCTCTATTTTGGGTGAAGGGGATGCTGGAGGAGAAAGCATGTGCAGGATTTCAGAAACTGGCTCAAGAGGGTTTCCAGGAGCAGCCTTGGGCACAAGGACAGTCTTTATCCTCTGATGCTCCAATGAGTACCAAAGGCTTGGTTTCCATGCAAAATCCCAGTAGTCATGCAGAGCCTTGATTTAATCATTGTCAAATCAGTTGAGGTATTTCACTAACTTCAGCAAGTATTTTAATTGAAAAAAAATATATTTACTTGAAATAACCTCCCATTCCTCAACTGTGCTTACATTACACAGATAGCTTAGTTTATATTTAAATAGGAAATGTTTAATATTCAGCCTGGGAATAGTTGTTTAGCATAAATAACTATTTCTTTAATATTAATTTCCCCTTCAAGTATTTATATTTGCTTTCTTTCCCTCCCTTGTCCCCTTCCATTCCCTCCCCCCACCAACATTTACTTTTATTTCCCAAAGCATATATGTGGTTTACAGTCATGCAAAACAAATGATGGATTGAGTGTATTTGCAATGGCCTTTGAAAACTGTCCCAGTGTCCAAAGACTGCTCAGTTTTATTCCTCCAAGTGTTCTGTGCTTACTGCTGCAACATGTCATCTACACAGCCAGGAAGTTGTACAAGATACACAAGATCCAAGCCAGCAGGATAAAATCTAAGTTATCTTTTAGCCAGCTTTTGAAATTGATATACTTTTATGACCCAGAACTCCAGAAATAAAAATTAACTGAGTGGTCAAACACAGATGGTCTATACGATGTTTTTTGTGTAACCTCTAATTTGACATGTGAAACTTTTTGTGTCATTTTAAAACACACTGGTATTTTGAGTGCAATATTATTTAAGGAAGCACATGTTGTTGTAAAGGAACAAGGACCTTCTGAGAAATGCTTGGCTTTAGAGGACAGTTTGGCTTAAGAAGTTTCAGAACTTGTGTGGTACAGTTATTAATATTCCAGCTGAATCTATGGGTGTAGCAGCAGTGAGAGATTCTGAAGCTGTGGAGGTAAAATCTGCTCAGTTTGAAGATGCCCTATGAAATGGAAGATTTTCATGTTTGGATTTGTGAAGACAGGACATACAGAACACAAGTTGGAAGAGACCTCAAGGATCATCTGGGCCAGTCTCTCTAGGTACTACTAAAGTTTATATGAGATGGTTCAGCACCTTTTCAAGCTGAGACTTAAAACTGTCCAATGTGGGGGAATCCACCACTTCCCTTGAGAGACTGTTCCAATGTTTGACTGTCCTCAGGGTGAAAAATTTACATATGGCTACAAAAACTTCCTCAGGCTCAGATCTGTAGTCAGGCATCAAGGTGTTGAACGTGAAACTGGGGATGTGGCCAGAGCTTCTGCTGAATCAATACCAGAAAGGGAACCTGTGTGCACAGACCTCTTCAAAGACGGGGAAAGCTCATGGCACGTGGTGCCTGAGCCCCTTCTGGCCTGATCCACTGAGTACAAGTATCTTCTGCTTAAGCCAAAGATGCCTGATTTTTGGAAAACACTGAATGTGCATGAAATGGGACAGCACCTGCACTTTGTTTTGAAGCCCTAGACTCCAGAGTAGTGGGAATCCTTCCTTTGACTTCAGCAGGTGCCTCCCACACGTACGCAAGAAAATATTTGTCTTATTATTACCAGTAACTTTAGGTTACAAAGGTCAGAACTTCATCCTCTCCTGGGCAGGGTGTTGAATGCACAAT